AACAGTTGATTGATGGGTTGGAAAAAATCAACTGTCTTTCAGACATTGGCACATAGCATTCTTTGGTTTGTATTTTAAATTTTTACCAAAGTTTGGGAATAATTGCCAATAGTAATTTGACTATGGCTATATAAAAGATCACATCACTAAAAGTAAGATTTGTTTTTCTCCCCTCTTTAATTACAAGTGACCTTTAAGAGTATTCCTTTAGTATCTCTATAATACTAAAGAGATTAAATTAAATTGATTAAATCTCATTATCAATCCCTTTCTCTGCCTTATTACTGCTCTTAGGTGTATGTCTTCTCTATACCTCACTCTCTCTAGATAGAGATCTATGTGTATATGTGCATGTGTAACTTTAGGTGGAGAATGACATAATCCTTGGTTTATGAAATGTTTATCATTGGTCTACATGTGGCCCATTCTATTTATTTGTCTAGTTAGTTACTTAAAAAATTGACGTAAAAAGAATTTGACTTTCCCACCTAAAATAAAGGTGGGTCCTTAGCAATAACTAGTATTTAGCCATATGGCCTCTTCTCAACCCTTCTACCTACCTCCCGCTACCTAGATAACCATTTTCCTTAATCATATGTCTATTACTTTTTCTATATATAGTTTTCTTTATATAGTTTTGTCATATTTATGTGTGTCTCTTAAAAGTATTTACATTTTAAGCTTTATAATTTCTTTATTTTTATAATCTATGTTATCTACTGTATATAACATTTTTGGACTTTTTGTATGTTAGACATATCTAGATATGATACTGTGAAATTTCTATTTGCACTTGTCCATTTCCTGGCACATAGCTCCTAAGCCTTTGGTATGTCTTAGGTGATAAATGCCTTTTGTATATTAATGGAATAATTGATGCCTGGGGGCTCCTGAATAGCCTCGGATAGGGGCTGGCTGCCTCTCTTCCTTATCTCCAGAGAGGGCAGAGGGGCTGAATGTTGAGTTGATCAGCAGTGACCAGAGATGTAATCAATTATGCTCCCATAATGAAGCTTCTATAAAAATCCCTGAACTGTAGGGTTTAAAGAGCTTCTAGATCACTGAACATATGGAGTTACCTGAAGGGTAGTGGAGGTGCCTGGAGTGTGGTGTGCCTGAAGAGAATATGGAACCTTTGTGCCCCTTCCCACATGCCTTACCCAATGTTTGTGTTCCATTCTTCTGTTTGTATTTTTTATAATATCCTTTATAATAACTGTAAGGAAAGTATTTCCCTGTGTTCTGTGAGATGCTTTAGCAAATTTTTTCTAAACCTAGGAGGAGGGCACGAGAACCTTGATTTATAGCCTATGGGTCAGAAGTACAGGTCACATCTGTAGCAGGATGTAATTTCAAGGGATTGTCTTTAGCTTGAGGAATCTGCTGCCATCTTCAGGAAAATAGGATCAGAATTGAGTTGAATTAAAGGATACCCACCCAATGTCTGTTGCAGAACTGCTTGGTGTGTGTGGAAAACCTCCCACACATATGATCACAGCAGTGGTCGGTTGTAAGAGTAGAGTTGGAGAAAAACTGTTGTTTTTTTAAATGTCTGATTACAGTCTCCTAACTCTGATAATTTGTGTGTATAATATTTTGTGCTTTCTATGTAAACAAGTTTATCATTCACAAATATGCCAGTTTAATTCCTCCTTTGCAATCTTACTCTATTTTTTTCCATTACACAGAGAGTTTTCCATAAAATTTTCTAAAATTAAACCATCCTTACATACCTTGCACAAATTCAACTTGGTTGTGGAATAACATTTCTGTTTATTTATTTATTTTAGTTGTAGATGGACGCAATATCTGTGATTTTTTATTTATTTATTTTTATGTGGTGCTGAGGATCGAACCCAGTTCCTCACATGTGCTAGTCAAGTGCGTTACCACTGAAGTACAACACCAGCCCTGGAGTAACATATTTTTGACTAAAAAATGGCTAAGATTGCTTTGCACCAATACCATACTTCTTAAAGATATTTGTTTAGGAAGTTTGCATCTATAGTCATGAGTAAGATGGACCTAGAATTTTCCCTTCATGTAACACTTTTGTCTAGTTTTGGTTTCATTGTTATTCTAGCTTGGGAGTTTTTCTTCTTTTTCTGTTGTCTGAAAGTTCAGAGTCTGTCAAGGTCTAGTTACAGAAAGAAAAACTGCATCAGGTATTATTATTGTTATTATTTTGTTCTTTTTATATATACCTGACAGTAGAGTGTATTTTGACATATTGTACATAGGTGGTATAATGAACAGAGGGTATTCAACAGTGAGAATTGATTACTGTCGTGAGGGGGCAAAATTGCGACGTATGCAGTTGAAGGGAGAAATAAAGAATGTCCCTGCGATTCTGCTCCTTTCAATGCTTTATTCTCTCAAATTACTCAATACAATTTCATTCTATAGGTTCTTAATCAAGAAAATGACAATCCTTAATGCTAGGCACTGCAATAGACATAATCAATTCACAGAAAACAATTCTAGATTAATTAATTCACAGCAAACAATTCTAGATTAATTCTAAGTACTACAAAACACACTTAATCATGACAGGCTTATGACAGACATTCCCTCTGTATGCTAAGTTCAAATGTCAGATCAAAAGTCTTAAGCCTTAGGCTTTATGTCCAGCAGATGCACGCACACTCAGACCGCGGTGATCAGGTCTGGAACCATGGCAGGCTTTTCCTGGCATGGAGTGGACGACCTGTTGAGGAAAGGGTCATAGGAAGAAGTTGCAGCTCTCACCAAGGTCCAGTTTGAGAGCCATGAGGATCACACAAAGACCCAGGAGCAATGACAAGTGATAGGATAACAGGTCCTCATCAGGCTCTCCAGCCCGAGTGCATCCTTGTTTCAGCTGGCTGAATCCCTGTTCATTTGCTCTATTATTTATACTAAATTTGGGGGCTTTTAACCCCCCACCCTTTTCAATCCTTATCAGCTAATGGTCTGGTGGTCTCCACCCTGATCTTCTCACCTTTCCCTCATCAGGTGAGGGCAGCCTGCCAGGGATTCCACTCTGTTTTATCAGGGTGAGGGGAAGTAACTTGTTTGAGGCCATACTGGAGGGCTCTGTGGGTGCCTGGTGAGACTGCTGGTTTCAAACTGAAGTTGCTTAGGCTCAGGCCTAAGGTCATCCTCACAGTTTACTTAGGTATTAGAATAATGAAATAACAAAAAAAGTGTGCTAGAGTTAATAACTACAGGAAGCAGTTTTCACTACTAGAGCTGGGAGAACAAAAGTGAAGAGCTTATAGTGTTGCCAGAACCTAAGACTTTGGAGGAGGGCCTTGGGGGCTGATACTTAGACCTCTAGGGTAACTTTTGAGTAACTGGTGCTCAAATCCCTGAGGTTGGAAGCCTGGCCTGACAGGTGGTACTAGACTCAGGTAGCACAATCCAGAGGATGAGTGAGCAGGGCAAGGCTAGTACTCTGACTGCCAAGCAGCCACAATCCACTGCTGTAGATATTGTAGACTTTTCTTGGGAATGTTGAAAGAAGCTAGATGTGGTAATGAACTCTTATTGTGACTCTTATCTTATGACACTGATAAGATCTGGAAAAAAGTAAAGAACGAAGTCCCTTTTTAAAATCCTTTCTGCTTTCCCATTGGCAGAAATGAACAGAAGAGAGCTATCAAAGGAGTCTTAAGGGCTGGGGTTGTGGCTCAGAGGTAGAGCGCTCGCCTAGGATGTGTGAGACACTGGTTTCGATCCTCAGCACCACATAAAAATAAAATAAAGGTATTGTGTCCACCTACAACTTAAAAAAAAAAAGACAGTCTTGAAATGAAGTTTGCACTCATAGTTGCATTGTCACAGAGCAAAAAGGGGTGGATTTATTGCTGAGGGAAAATAAGTAAATAACAGACACTGAATATCATGTATATTTTATGAAGAGAAATCTGAATCTGCAAAAGGTTAAATTATTTGCCAGATATCACTGGAGTTATTAAATGGACAGGTCTGGAATTTAAACCTAGGCCTATGCTGGTTCTACTACTATATTCCATCTGATCTAAGACATCATTGGTTGTTAGAAGCACCATTATTTTATGTATCTCTAGGAAAATAATGTCAATTAAAAAAGACATCAATTATAAGTTCCATACTTATAATTGAATTATGGTATGTGATGTTGCCCTATAAAGAATTTGGTTTGGGGCTGGGGGTGTGGCTCAAGCAGTGGCACGCTTGCCTGGCATGCGTTTGGCCCAGGTTCGATCCTCAGCACCACATACAAACAAAGATGTTGTGTCCGCCGAAAACTGAAAAATGAATATTAAAATTCTCTCTCTCTCTCTCTCAAAAAAAAAAAAGGAATTTGGTTTTGGCTGGATGCGGTTGTGCACACCTTAATCCCAGCAGCTAGGGGAGGCTAAGGCAGGAGGATCGTCAGGCCCTGAGCAACTCTGTGAGACTCTGTCTTTAAATAAAATACATAATGAGCTGAGGATCTTGCTCAATGGTTGAGTACCCCTGGGTTTAATCTTTGATACCCTTCCCCCCACAAAAAGAGAATCTGGTTTTGGAATTGTTGATTTTGAGATGCCTGTGGATTACCCAGATCAAACATTTAGTGGACAGTTTAAAATGTAGTTATAGCTCATAAGAAAGACGGAAGCTAGAGATGTAGAGGTAAAGGTCATCTTCATGGCAGAGTCATGATTCAGAAACAGCTTCACTGTTTTTTATGTTAGTCTACTATTTATACTATTTCTTTTCTATCCTTTCCCTACCTTTTTATGATGGCATCTGTTGGTAAATCTGATATTGTTTTTTGTTATTCAGGACCACTTTTTTTTTCCCCAAAAATTTCCCAAGGAAAGATTTTCTTTTCTGTCTTCTATTTAATGATTTAGAGTATGTGGTCTGCCAGTATAGACTCCACATAGATATAGTTGTTATGAATATGGTAGTGAAAAGTGGGTCTCCAGAGATATGGATAGTGTGAAGAAATCTCATCTATGCACTCTGATGGTTTCTCATTTTTATAGGTCTAGCATGTCTGGCTTGCACCTAGTAAAACAATGTCGAGACCGAAAGAAAGTAGACTCACAGCGAGATTTCACTGTGGCTTCTCCTGCAGAATTTGTTACTCGTTTTGGGGGGAATAAAGTGATTGAGAAGGTAAGTTATAACTTGCTAAATTCTTTTTGTCAAAGTACATGAGGGCTGTGAGTGGTGACACCTGTCTGTAATACCAGTGACTCAAGAGGCTGAGGATCACAAGTTCAAGGCCAGCCTCAACAACTTAGCAAGTCCCTGTCTCAAAATTTAAAAAAGGCTAGGGATGTAGCTTAGTTGTAAAGTGCCCCTGGGCTGAATCCCCAGTAGCAAAAAAAAAGGTATATGAGGAGCTGGGGTTATGCTTGCCTAACTTGTGTAAAACCCTGGGTCGACCATCTTCAGCATAGAGGTGGGGGGAGTAATGCCTAGAATCAAAATTGATAGTTATATTTTTCAGGGACTTTACCACTTTTGTGGAATTGCCCTGCCTGGCATCATTGTGTAATTTCACTATTTTCTGTAATATGTATTTACCACTGATAATTTAATCACAACTAACTGAGGAGATGAAACAATGTTCATAAGGTTATTTTGAGGGGCTGCGGCTATAGCTCAGTGGTAGATTGCTTGCCTAACACGTGTGAGGCACTGGGTTCCATCCTCAGCACCACAGAAAAATAAATAAATAAAATATTGTGTCCATCTACAACTAAAAAATATATTTAAAAAGTTCTTTTTGAAAGGTCTTATAGTTTTGCAGGGTGAGTCTGTACTGATCTGACAGGTTATGAGGAATTTATTAAGTTATGGAATACAACAGCGTTGGATATAGAGAGAGTTACAGAACAGAAGGCTTAAACAATTTAATAAACTGTGACTTGGCTTCCACCAAGTATTTGAGATGTTTAGAGGAGATATGTCATATGAAATATTTGAAGAGATTTCAGGTATTTTGAAATGTTATGAGTAATTCTGTGTCACTTTTTTGGGGGGGAGGGGTGCTACTAGAGATTAAAACCAGTGCCCTGTGCATGCTAGACAAGTACTCCACCCTGAGTTACATCTCCAGCCCTTTTTACTTTATTTTGAGTTATTGCCTCATTCTAATTTGCCCAGGCTGGCCTCAAACTTGCAATACATCTATCGTAGTTTCCCAAGTAGCTGGGATTATAGGCAAGTGCCTCACTGCACCCAACCTATGTCACTGTCCAAGCCATGTCAGAGCTGAATGACTTAGTTGAAATAGTTTATAGTGATTAAAAGATTACAGGATAGGAACCTTGTATTTGTATTCCTAAAAGTATAGCTTCAGCCGTGTCCTTCTATTTCAATAAGCATGGATTATGTATCTATTAGCCTATATTATCCTTAGGGGCATGATTGCAACACAGGTAAGGAGATGAATGTTTTATTTACAGAAAAATATCAAGATCATTTGATTGTGACCATTCTTTCTGACACAGTCTCTACAATTCTAAGGAATTGGGATTCAGCATTTTGGAGAGAAGCAATTGATGTTAGGATTTTTATACATTTTCAGGGCTCTGTGTCCTGTTTTATTATAACAGGGAATAGTGCACGACACTGCACAGTTTAGTCTTCTCCCATTTCTTATTTGATAATGCATCATTTCTCTGAAGTTTGTTTTCCTCTATTGCCTAGTAATAGGTATGGGAGAACGATTCACAAACAGTGTATGAGTAATCATGACTTTGCTTTTTCTCCAAGAAAAGTTAAAGTGCAGTAAATTCTACCTTCACACATTGATATATTTGCTTAGCAAACATTTAAAAATATTGCTTGATCACATGGGTTCTGGTTCCTAATAGTCTAGACTAGCAAGAATTTCAAGAATTTCTGGTTGAAATTCTGATTTTTTTTCCCCCAGATAAAAATTTCCCATCTTTATTCCTCTGTCAATCCTTTTCTTTTCTGTATTTTCTTCCAAATCCCATTCTCCTCTCTCCTAGGTTCTTATTGCTAATAATGGCATTGCAGCAGTGAAATGCATGCGATCCATTCGCCGGTGGTCTTATGAAATGTTTCGAAATGAGCGTGCAATTCGATTTGTTGTCATGGTCACACCTGAAGACCTTAAAGCCAATGCAGGTGAGTCATTAGATTTACAAAAGTATCATCCTCAAACATTGAATAGCCCAGCCTTTCAGTAGGAAAATGCTAGTTTAGGAGTATCCCTATATTTAGGAGTTCCAGTAAAATCCTATTCAAAGAATTTCTCTTTAAAAAGTGTAAATAATAGCCAGATAAGAGTGATTATAGGCTAATATAGAAGGATAAAGGAAATTGGAGTCACAGTTGGGGGCAGAGGAGCAAAGGGAGAGAAATTATACTATAATTAACCATAGCACACATTCCTATATTCTAAGGTAAATAGTAAACATTTAGCACAGGAATTGATTCAGGCTTTCAGGTATATGTCTTTTTCAGTATTAAATATTTTCTGTGGCACATTCTTTAGTATGTGTAAGTAGAAAAGTTTGGAAGGAAATGCTATTTCCCTTATGAATTATATTTAATTCCAGAGAATTTTAGAGTAAAGTTTCTTTTTTCTTGTCCTTGTGAAAGAGAGAGGTCTTGGGATCCAATAAATGCTTTTGTATACTCTGTCTTCTTAGATGGTCCTCTGAGAGCTATAGGTAAAGTCTATTGGTATAACTGAGGTGTGGCTGGTCTTTCTCCTTCATACTTTGTATCACTAAGGTGTAAATAATCTCTTAAGATAGAGTATCTACAGATAATTTTAGTTCTTTAAAGAGCTATTCTTTTAAACCCATTTGGGTCTCTCTATATTGTTTCCATCTTGAGGTAATGATATTAAGACTATTTCTAAGGATTAAAGGTTATTATGGCATCTATAAACAGTGAAGTCACCAATGTATTGGAAAGCATGTATTATTATGTGAAACCTTTTAATGTACCTTTTAATATATCTGAACTATAATTTTTGTGCTTATAAAAGAAAGATCTTAATTTATTTTTCCTTGAGGAGTTTTAAGGATGAGATCATCTATAGAAAAATGTAAATTACCTTACATGGTTTCTTTTCCCCATCCATTTTACCTGCTACTCCTATTAATTCATTTATTCATTCGCTCATGAACATGGAGACCAGACCCATATTTGAATAAGATGTGGTCTTGTTCTAGGAAACAAATAACTTCCACACAATGAAGTAAGCACTACAGTGGAAACATACAGAGGGTACTATGAGAACACAGAAATGAGACATTTAATACTTGGGGGCAGGTTAAACAGAAAGTTTTCTTTCTTTCTCTCTCTCTTTTTTTTTTTTTGGCACTAGGGATTGAACCTCTGAGCCATATCTTCAGCCCCTTTTATGTTTTATTTAGAGACAAAGTCTTGCTGAGTTGCTTAGGGGCTAGCTAAACTGCTGAGGCTGGCTTTGAACTCATCAGCCACTGGGATTACAGGCGTGTTCTACCACAACCAGCAATAGGAAACTTTCTGGAAGAGATTATGCCTAGCCAAGAATAAATAATTTAAAAAGTCAATAAAGCAGTTAGGGGAGTGTGAAGGGTATACCAGGCAGAAAAAACAGCATCTGCAAATGCATAAGGGTCAACACAAGCGACCTTTTGAAAAATTATAGGTAGCTTATTAAAGTACAAAATAAAATATAGTAACTTAATTAAAATAGTAATAAAATAGTAACAAGGAGGTCCTTGTTTCCTATCCTCAGAGGTCAGACTTTCTCTTTTTTTGGAGGGTATGTGTAGTGTGATTGTGTGTAGTGTGTGTGTTGGACTTAAAGGATTTGCATTTAAATTTTTTTTTTTTTGGCAGTACTGGAAATTTGTTCGTGCTAGGCCAGTTAGGAAAGTGCTTCACCACTGAGCTACACTCTTTGCCCAAGCTTTTTTTGTTTTGTTTTGTCTTTAACTATACCAAAGTAGAAGAATATAATGAATCCCTTCTCTTATACTTATTTTCCAATATGAAGGAAAATTGAAAGGTAATACTATTTCCCTTATGAATTATATTTAATTCTAGAGAATTTTAGAGTAAAGTCAAGTCATGGCTGTTGTAGTTTCATCTATATTCTCACCCCTGCTACTCATTTACCCAATTATTTTTTAAAAATATATATATATATTTTGTTTTAGTTGCAGATGGACACAATACCTTTATTTTATTTATTTTTATGTGGTGCTGAGGATCAAACCCAGTACCTTGCAGGCGCAAGGCAAACGCTTCACCTCTGAGCCAAATCCCAGCCCATTTTCCCAATTATTTTGAAGCAAATTCTAGATATCATGTTATTTCAGTATGTACCTCTAAAACATTCTTTTAAAAAATTGGATTATTCCATTAGCATCTTTAAAGATCTATTTGAGGAAGACAATAATAGAGGATATATGATGGGGCGGAGGATAGAGAACAAATGGATGGTTTAGAGTAATGGAAATAACAAGATTTAATAATTAAAGGAAAAGTCTTTTTTTTTTTTTTTTAAGAGAGAGAGAGAGAGAGAGAGAGAGAGAGAGAATTTTTAGTTTTCGACAGATACAACATCTTTGTTTTTGTTTGTGGTACTGAGGATCGAACCCGGGCCACACGCATGCCAGGCGAGTGCGCTACCACTTGAGCCACATCCCCAGCCCCGAAATTTTTAATATTTATGTTTTAGTTTTCGGAGGACACACATCTTTGTTTGTATGTGGTGCTGAGGATCGAACCCGGGCGGCACGCATGCCAGGCGAGCGTGCTACTGCTTGAGCCACATCCCCAGCGAAAAATCATTGTTGATCATTGGGTTTGTAATTTGGTTGACTAGGCAGATGCTCATACCACCAACTAAAATACGTTATATAGCTAGAAGAGCAAGTTTTTTTTTCTTTTTTTTTTTTTGTGTGTGTGTGTGTGTGTGGTGAGATGGATTTAGTGTGGAGTACCTGTGGCTTTGGCAAAATTCTATTAATCCTATAAAAAGTTGGCTATATCCTTCTAGAATTAAGAAACAATGAGAGCTAAAGGTTAAGATGTATTTATTATTGGCAAATATGTGGCACAGTTAACAGTACTTTCCAAAAGAAGAGATAAAGAGGCCCAAGTATGAGAATTTATGGAAGACTAAAAATTAGGGATAAACTAAGGTAAATAGGCTTATAAATAAAGCTGAGAAATGATCAAAGAGATTGGAAAAGAAACAGAGAAACACAGAGAAAAGAAATTTCCATATGGAAGTATTAAATGTGTCAACAGTCCAAAATTAGGACCAGAAACCATGCAGCAATTAATAAATTATTAATTACTTTTGCAAGAATAATTTCAGAGTAATAATATAAGAGTATGCAGACTAATATAGGATGTTAAGGAATGTCAGAAGTAATATGGAGATAACTGATATGGACTAGTTTTATTTTTATTTTTTAATTTTTTTTAAGAATTTTGTATGAGGGAGCAAAAGAAAAGGCAGTAACTAAAACAAAATTCAGGGTAAAGTGAGGTTTTTTAAAATTTTCAGAATGAAAGAAATTTGGGGATATTTTCATTCTGAGAAGAGAATTAAAGTGTGAGAGACCTGAAGTACATTAGAGACTTCTAAGAAAAGGAATGGGAAAGGATCAAGGGCACAAGTGGACAATTATATGAATTTCTTTTGATCAACAAATTCTACTAGTATTCTCAGGGGGAAGAAATCAGTAGTGAGGGCAAATACATTTGTACAAGGATATCATATATTCATTGCTCGTTATTTTAAATAGTGAGAAACTGAATTAATTGTTAAATATTAGCAAATTAGTTAATTAAAGGTATTATACCAATTAGTTAATTAAAATTTTCCATCCCAATTCTGGGAAATACCATGTAGTCATTAAAAAACATTAAGTGAAGTTAGCCAATCCCCAAAAATCAAATGCCGAATGTTTTCTCTGATATAAGGAGGCTGACTCATAGTGGGGTAGGGAGGGGGAGAATGGGAGGAATAGATGAATACTAGATAGGGAAGGACAGGGAGGGGGCAGGGGATTAGCAAGGATGGTGGAATGTGGATAGACATCATTATCCAAAGTATATGTATAAAGACACAAATTAGTGTCAACATACTTTATATACAGCCAGAGATATGAAAAATTGTGCTGTATAAGTGTAATAAGAATTGTAATGCATTCTGCTGTCATTTTTTTTAAAACTCCCAAATTTTTCTGAATGACATTAGTATAAGACTATTTGGATAAATTGCTATATCATAGTGGCGCATGCCTGTAATCCCAGCGATTCTCAAGGCTGAAACAGAAGGATTGTGGATTCAAAGCCAGCCTCACCAATAGTAAAGTGCCAAGCAACTCAGTGAGACCCTGTCTCTAAATAAAATACAAAATAGGGCTGGGGATGTGGCTCAGTGGTTGAGTGTCCGAGTTCAATCCCCAGTACCCCCCAAAATAAAATTTAAAAATTGCTATATTATTACTGTGTAATAGTAATATCACAAATTTAGCAGCTGAAAACAACTAACATTTAGTATCTCATAGTTTGTATAAGTCAGAGTATGAGTCTGCATCTGTGGATCCAATAGGCTGCAGATAAAACATTTCAGAGGGCTGTTTCAAGTACTCACAAGACTTTAGTCAGCTGGGGTTAAGGTCTCATCTGAGGCAGAACTTGGAATGAATGTAGCTTCTGCCTCACGTGGTTGTTATCAACATTCAGTTCTTTTGTTAGCTGTCAGGCTGAGGGCTTGAATGTCTGATTGTTGACTATAGTCCATTCTTGGCTCCCTGTCACATAGACCATCCCAGAATAACTTCTCACTTCCTCAAAGTCAGCAAGGGAGAGGATCTCCTAGTAAGATGGGTTATATTCTTATGTAATGTTCTCATGGAAGTGATAACTCATCACCTGAATCTATATTTTCTTGCCCAGAAGCAAGTCATAGATTCTTTCTGTGCCCAAGGGGAAGAGGTACATAAGCAAAAATCCGGGAGGTTGAGATCATAATAACTCCTTAGTATCTGTCTACCATGTTTGCTAAGGAAAATGTTGCCTGTAGAAGGAAATTGATAGCATGATATAATAGGAAAAAATACATTGTATATAGTCATAGAAAAAGGGTATAACAATATATA